TCACACACAGCAAAAAAGTTTGTGGACACTCTATTTATATTTACAGCACCAAGCACTCTGGAGCCCATGTGTGAAGTTCTCAAGCATGTCTGCATCAGACAACAAGAACGTGCCTTTGGATGATATACCCTAAATGGCTCTCTTTGCAAGAAATAAAATCATCCCTACTGCATATATTATGTCTCTATATTTTCAAGAGAAAAATGAAAGGGGATAAACTCAGCTACCACTTGCCCTAAGCTCATTTTAAGTAGTACTCTATACGCAGTTCAACAGACTAACACCACTTAGTTTTAACATATGAAAAGTGCTCTTAGGTATAGCCACTTATAAAGAGGAGGTTACTGAACGTTTACTCTATTTCACTCAAACTACCTCCTGATTTACTAGCTTGCCATTATCACACTATCCTTATTTGCTGTTTCCTCTCTTCTCCATCAAAACTGATGAAATTACTATTACAAAAGCTGCTAAATAAATTAAAAGTGCAGTGTTACAACTAAAAATGCTTGAATAGTTGCAAAAATGCTGGATATCCAGTAGTCAGGAGCTTTCTGCTGCCTCCCGTCATTTTGAACTGAATTAAAATCCAGGAACCATGTTCTGCCTTCAGTGTTCTTCTCATCAGCAGAGACTGGTTTGAAGACAACAGAGCATTATGTGGAGAAGGTTCTACTCCACTCAGGCCTACCTCAGCTCTAATTGAGGTCAACAATAACAACACTGCAGAAGGCAGGGAGTCAATTCAGAGAGGAGCAGAATAACCCTATCGCCAGTATGCTATGCTCCAAATACACTACACTCCAAAAACACAAAGGCTTTCGAAGAGAATGAAGAAGGACCCGAAGCATAATGGAGATGCCAGCTCCCGTGAGAAGAGCTAAAGAATGAACGAGCTTTTTCATAATTATCTTTGTTGTTCTCTATGATATTTTCTCTGTGAGAACAAGTACTTTGCCCTTTTAAACTTATAGCACATGGTTTCCTTAGTTGAATAGAATGTTACGTATGAACCATGAGGCTGTATTCATGGTTTAAATCAGTGCAGGTTAAGATTTTTGCTTTAGAGAGTTAGCAGATGTGATACAGTCATGACAGAATGAGGTTACTGCAGAAATGACTCACTGTTGAATAATCAAGTGTTTACTCCAGCAAAACTGCATGTAATCGGATTGCCACCATTTTTCTGCTGTATTGTAAAGATGTAGTTTTTAAATGTCAGTGCATCAGGAAGAAAAGTAAGCTCCTTGGGTGGCTTAGATCTTTTTTATGCATGTGTTTAAAAGGTAGGCAGTCTTCCGGTTCTCAATTGAGAAAAAAAAAAAACCATTGAGCACATCAGTGGAGACATACATTAATGAAATAAGGAAGGGAAATTAGTTGAAGAGTAAAGATCCTTTCTTGAAGTGGAACAGAAGTATTTCTGCAGGATACCACAAGGAAGAAAGAACAATTGATATGACATTCTTGTGATCTTTTATATATCCTAATCTAGTATCTCTGCTGAAAATAATAATGTCATGATCTGAGAAATCTTGAGCCAATCATTCCTCTAGATACAATTAATTTTTCTCAAACTACATTCTTCAGCCTTTTTTTGATTTTGTTTTTAAAGGAAGTAATTTGAGGTTGCTTGCGCTTTGTCTTGCATGAAGGAACAAATGCTCAAATATATCCCGTCTAACAAGAGGGACCTAAATGGGATGGGAGGAATCACTGGCTGGAAGAGCATCTCACTCTTCTGACCCTACAGAAAGCCCAAAGGTTAAGGTCTGTTAAGGTCCTAAAGTTCAGGCAAGGACATGAATCCAGACCAAACAGACTTTGGTCTCTTTGAGGCCTTTCTCCAATACTCAGTAGGTACATTGGGAGCACTCCCAGTGTCTTATATGGCTATTGGTTTAACCCTCTCCCGCCTTTTAAAGGGCAGGAGGAAGGAGGTTGAGATGTAAATCCTGGATCAAACCCAAGTGCTCTCCACTTTGTCTGTGAAGGTCTAGCACCAGCACGTGCTATAGAGACAATGCCTTACAATAAAGACGAGATTATGCTCTCACTGGGTGCGTAACCTCCCATGCGATAGAGAACAATTCACTCTGTAGAAGCACGAAGAAGAGTTCGCTAACACTGCAGCTTCCAAAAAGTTTTTGAGGTTTCAACCTGCCATGGTAGATGCAGTTCTGAGAAACAGAGCATACCTGTAAAATGATGTCTAACAAAGGTGTCAAGCCAGGATCTTGCTCTTAAGAGCGAAAACCCATCATATTCAAATAAGTAGCTAGATTGTTTATTAAGTTAGTTATGTGAAGCCCTATCAGAGGAGCAGGGACACAAATGAGACAAAGTAACAGAAGAATTTCAAAAAGTCTTGCTGCCAAGACAAAACCATAGCAGATTGTGGCTGTTCTAATTCATTCCTTACATGTTAGTTATTATTATGCAGTTCTTCCATCACTGCAGGCATTTAAATCACTTAATGAAGATCATTATAAAGAAAGAAAAAGCATTTTACTTGCCTGACCTATTCCAGGTCACATGTTCCTTACACATGTTCCGATGGAATTAAAGTGCCAGCTTTAAAAATCAAGCCAACAGCATTTCTGAATCACTCTTTGTTGTACAGACCCTAGATTACATCAAAATCTTTATCAGATTCTCCCCTCCTCCTTCTAATAATATTGGATTGTGTTGGACTGTGCTGTTCCATAACGTTGTCAGGTGAAAAATCAGGTCTCAGCTGTTCCTGTTTCCACAGTACTTGCTCCTGCATGTTCTATGTACCAGACATTTGGTTTTGGAACCAGAGTTACATTATTTCATGGTCAGTTAAATTAGAAGAAAGAAGGTGTAATGCCCGTGCAGGACTTCATGCTGTGCCTATGGATAGTTGAAGCAGATAAGGCTACTGCAACCTCAGAAGCTGAGGTGCACTCACTTGCAAGCCCAGCAGCAGCTGTGGAAGAAGCACAAAACAGGTCCTAACCATCCTATGCCAGCTATGCTGTTTCTGAATGACGTATCACGCTACCATCCTAGCTGGCCATCTGTTGTACAGCTGTAGCCCAGAAATCCGGGTAAAAGTCAGTGCTTCCTATAAGGACAGGATATGCAAGTCTCATAGGATGGCTAACCCAGGCTGAAGCTATAGAAATTGTTGCTTCCAGCTAGCAGTGTCTTCAGTTCAGTCCTCAAGATGGCAATCATAATGCAACCAGCCTTGCAGCATTGCCTCTGCTGAGGGTTTGCTGGGGTGGGGATAAACGGGAAGCCCTTCTGTGTCTTTTTTCCAGCCCACACCAAAGCAGTACAGGTTGTGATGAGGAGCAGTAGTTGAAATTCTATCTAATAACTGAAATTCGATCCAATGCTAGCTAACTGGAGAAGAATGACTTGACTTTTATATGGGAAATTTACTGTTACAAGCAGGCAGCTTTAACTATGCATGGACATTGTAAATGTACAGGCAGGGAATGGAAAGTAAATCAATCCTGGCTTCAACACAAATAAGATCTCCAGCTGTGTTTATATAGATTGTCCTCTGTACCACTCTACATATATGTGATGATGTTGCACAATCTATGACCCTGAACAATCCTGTATCACCACAGTCTCCCTGCAGGAGAACTAACCCTCTGCAGGAGCAGTAAGACTCCAGGTTTGTACAGTAGGGAAGGGTACACTTTATCACACTTCCAAGGCTGGAGCAGAAATGGTACATGGCTCATCTTACCAAGAGCAACTAACCAGCACAGCCCACTTAGCAAATGTTGCATATTCACAAGCACACTGTATGCAACAAACCTGAAGAGTTAAACATATGCATTTAGCGTATTTCATTAGCACACAGGAGGAACTTGTCTCTTACCAAATATTTTTCAAGCCACTAAGGGCTATGTTTCTTGACTAAACTCTCTTCCTTGCAAATTCTTACCAACATCTTGCAGCCATCCACGCTAGTTACAGTTTTGAAGGAGAATGAGTACACACTCTACAATCAGCAGTTCCTCCTCTCCGCTCTCCCCTAAAGCTCCCGTTCTGACTATTAATCTGCTTGAGATAGGTTAATGAGGAGGACCTTGATCTGCACCCTAACAGTCTAGTCCTCACGTTCATTTGGAAGCTTTGCAGCTTTGTAGCCAGAGGACTATAACTCCTTGATGTGTACCTGCTGCTCACGTCAGGTAAGTAATCACTTCAAACTCTCATAGAAGATGGTGCAGTCAGTAAGGTTGTATGTAGAGAGCACCATCTCCAGTGAAGGCTATCCTCATCTCAGGAATTCTCTCAGCACTCCTGTAGAGAAGCCCTGTGAGGATTAAGTGGTGCTCAACCACCACTTGGGTATGGGTGGGAGGGTCTCACCCTCAGGAGGGTCTCACCCTCAGTACTGTTCCATACCAGCTAGCCAAATATTTTTAGTAGTTAAAAAAGGGTCCTGAAGTTGGACTGCTTATTCCTTTTCCAGTGAAGGCTCCATTATACACAGCCTTCAGATGCGGCACCTTATGGAGTCACGCCCTTAATGACAGCAGTGTTTTCTGTTTGGTCCACGAGGTTTTTTTGAATTGTTTATATACTTACTTAGCTGAAGGACTGAAGCAAACAGGGCATATCAGGAAGTCCAGTAACACATAAATAATTTTGAAAGTGACGTTTCTATTTCATTAAGGTTGTGGGCACCTGCTACTTAATGATATGAAACAGCACGTGTGAAAACAAAGTAATACATATATAGAAAAAATAATTATGTAACTGGAACCCTTCAACTAATCATCACTTATTCTCTCTGCAAAATTCTACTTAAGCACAATTTCTATATATAATTCACTGCAATAGAGTGGTCTGCTTCTCTGTTTTTTTTTTAATCTAAGACCATGTCATGAGAGAGACTCTACACTTGGATAATTTACAGTTGTATTATCACCACTTCTGTGCTCGTACTAAATTTCAGACAAAAAAACCCCACAATTTATTTTTTGTTTTTATTCTATACTTCCTTGTTTTGTTTAGGTTAACTATGATCAAACGTGGTATAATTTTATATGGATAGTATCCCCATCCTTCTCACAACAAACTATTCTATGTTTAAAAAAGAAAAAAATATTTTGGAGCAACCCTACAACAATAAAATGCAAGAACTTTTTTTTTAAAACCGCAATACATCTTTTTTCCTAACTACATCAAATGCTGTTTTAAACTAACTCTGAGTTATGAAAAATATCTTAACTGAGCACTTCGTAAAGAAGACACTATAATTTATGTCTCAAACACACATTTAAAGTAAATTTTTAAAAAGCTGCGTTGTTAACAGCATTGCTTTGGAACAGCGCTTCTCTGCCTTCCTCTGTTTCAAGAAACCTTTGCTCAGCACCTTTCCTCGGTGTCTGTCCGCTCTTTTGTTTACTTGCCTACACCCTCCACTTCCTGATTTCTCAATGGTCCTCATAGCAGGCACCATTTCTGCAAAAGGTAGAGAGGCAGCTTCCTACAATTGTACTAGGAAGCCACAGACATCACCGAAGCTGTTCATGTGCTTTAAGTCAGGGCCATCAGCATTGGGGATTGGGGTTCAAGAGAGGCCCATGAAATCTGATGAGCACTGCCTTCAGTTATTAGCAAGAGTCTTTATCTTGATCATTTGTGGTGCTTGTGTCACCATCTTTGCATTTCACTCTGCTTTTTCAGAACTATGCTAGCCAATGCTTTCTTGGTTGTCATACAGCTTTCTTTCTGGCTTTCATTCTGAGGCCATCTTGGTTGTACAGAATACTCCACAAGATAAATTTAAATTCATAAAAAACAGTCCTATTTCTTTTCTGCAGGCAATGATTTTAGACTTGAATATTACAACTGATCTCAAAAACTTGTTGAGTGGGAAGTAGAAATAAGATGTCTTACACATTTTATGAATACCTGCAGGTATCACTGTCTTCAGTGGTAGTAGCAGGGACACACAACCTCAAAAAACTCAATCTGAGTGGATTTTGCCATCTAACTTTAGGTGCTCACATCGAGAATTTTGGTCCTCATATTTGCTAAAACCTTAATTTTGGATCCCATTCACCTGACAGAGTCCCTTTAAGCAGGAACTCTCCCACAGCTGCACTCTGATTCTGAGACATTTAGGATGCTTTTCATATACTAGTTTCTGAAGGTCAGTGTGGACACATTTTAAGACACAGTGATAAGACAGTGTATGGAACTAGTTGGCAGTATTTAGCTGGTACAGTTTCTTGTGGAAACAACAGAATTCCAAAACACACCACATTGAATGCTTCTGGGTTATTACAAGCAAAAATCCCAAGACACCAGGAATTAAAAAGCGGAGTTCAACAAAGGAACACTGATATCATTGGTTGATATGAACAAAGTTGTGCCAAGTCTTCCCTCTTTGCTTTTTCAAGTGGAGAAATAAACTGGGAAAGAAAGTAGAAGGGGGAGAAAGAGACATGCAACAAAAGTTATTATAGAGTTACCATTGTGTTTATCTCACAGAAATGAGCACGTGCTATCAGAGGCTGGCAAACACTTTTAGTATATCCCTCCTGAAAGAGCATGACAAGTCTTGCACCCAAATGCCTTCCTGCCTGCGACTGGGCTGCTCCTCCCTTCCCAGAAGGAGTACAGAGAGCAAACTGGGATGAGAAGCAGGGAAAACCTGTGGTCCAGATGCAGAAAGAGCGAGGGCTGCTGCTGATGTGAGTAACCACCTCCAACTCCAGCAACAGCTGCTGTCCCATAGGTTCTAACTCTTCCTCAGCAGGGACCCAGCCTGCTTTTCCAGGGCTCCACTACCAGCATGGCAGTTAGCCTGGCTTGGGCTGTTTTACCACCAATAGTAGGCTGTTGCTGTAGGGAACTACCTAATTTGTCTGTGTTTATAGCCACCCCTGCGCTGAGGGTGATCTTGTTCCTGTTCAAATCAGCGACACTGCAGAAGCCATGTAGGCCGCTGTGGCAGCACTTGGACACTTGATGTCAACAGGATTGAAATATATACTCAAGAGCTGCTGCAAATGGACAGACACACTATTGAGCCCAATACACAGGGTCCTTCCTGAAGCTAAAACCTCTAGGCAATATTACAGAAGGATCAAATGGAGTAAAACGTAATTCAAGATCCAGAGCCTAAATGCATTTAAACCTCACCAAACTCGCACTAACAAACTCCACAGTGGTGAGCCATGACCTGGGGTTGATAATATGACACCCAAGCTTGTGATTAAATACCCCAAACCCAACCTAAGCCATGCCAAACCTGCTATTTCTGTTTTAAAACCTGCCAAGACAGGTATCCTATATTTAAAAGCAGTAGGAAAGGGTTAATTATGAGCCATCTTGTCTGCTTTTTACTTTCTTGTAAGGATACACACGATGCTCAATGATGAATATATATACACAGCAGCCAATTCCATGGCTGCACATTTGTCTTCCCAGGTTGCTACAGTAGACTGCAGAACAAAGGCCTGTCTTTCCCCTGAAGCCACTAATCTTGAGTACTCAGTTAATGTAGTTAATTAATATCTAGCCATTTCCCATTCTTGCCACATCCAAGTTATGAAACCCCAGATTCATTCTGGGTCACTTTGGTGCCAGCATTCATAAGACTAATAAACTACCACATGTATCTCAATCCATTAAGTCGTGTTTACAGGTGATTCTGTAAGCCTCCTTTACAGAAGTAACAGAGGAAAATGGAAACACGCTGAAGATGAGGCATGTAATTTGAGAGCTGGGAATTAATTCAGGTTCACAACGTAGCCTCCTGGTGAATCTCTTCTGGGATACTAGCTGCATTGCTCAACTCAGGAAACCTCTCTTTTAGGAGTTAATGCCATATTGCAGTTATGTCACATAATAACAGTTGTTGCTAACACAGAAGTTACATAAATCAAATGTTCAGTTACTGTCATTACGAGATCCCTGGCTCACAACCAGCATGACTGCTATTATTCATTCATATGCTACCTTTTCTGCAAACGTGTAGAATGAGATGATCCTTAGAGGCAAGAAATCAACATGACTTTGGGACAGATATTAGTGATATTTATGTACTCAAGATGCAAAGGGATTTGCAGAAGTACCAACATCCCAAATTCCAAATGATTTGGTGGGAACTATGCACCTATGGACTTGTAAAATATGTATTAGATGCCTATTTGCATGTGGGCCCTCACCCTCTTTTGACAGGCACGAGCTAATCCAAGGATTACTGTTCTCCCTGAAGAGCACTAGGATTTTTACATTCATTCGAATGAAAGGAGAATGTCTGAGACTGCATGAAAATATACATAAACATGAAAAAGGAGAGTCTTTAATCTTGGGAAAAGTTATGTAACATACTAATGTAAAATGCATTACATGTCAACAAATGCTACCTATACAAGCACCCAGGGAGTTTGCAGTAATTCTCACTGTAACAGCATGACTCTAGGTGGACGTTTTCACAAATTAATCAGCTGGAACATTTTAAACCCCTTTCGTTTTTATTTTGTTTTTTTTTTTTCTCCCTATATTAGCACTTGGTAAGTCATAGAGCTACTTAGATCATAAATGAAAGAGAAAATAAATTACTCACTTATAATTATAATGAGAATGACTGCGCATACTACACCAAGGATGATCATCATCTATAAAAAGAAAGTTATGAGAAAAAAAAGAAAAAAGTCAGTTTTCACATGATAAGACATTAACCCCTAGGTTTTTTGCTTTTCTTTGGTGGCCAATACATTCTGCTGTTACTTCTGGCAAAGATTCCCTGTAATAGACTTTTCGAGACCTCGCATTTGGTGTCAGTTTTAGAAACCGCTAACCACCAACAGTGGACACAGCCTCTTGTCAAAGCTATCGACTTCTTGCCCATCAGCTAAGATGCAGGAACAAACCTCGTGCACCTTTCCAGCAGTGAAGTAAAACAACTCCGGAGGTGTTTTAAGTGAATGCATTTCCGCTGACTGGATCCATGCGTGGTCAGGCGCCACTCTATAGCAGAGTAACTTGATCACTTTCGACTACGTGCCCATAGTCAAGAAAGAGGCAGCTGGAGGTGTTTGAGGCCCAGCTCCTATTTGTGCTGTTTTTGTGTACCTGTGCTGTCGTTGGGAAAGGCAGCCCATGTTAGCCAGCATGGTTTCCAGTGTGTTAGCCTATATCTCAGTGTGAAGCCAAAGTCTGTTCCCATGGGAACAGATACATCAGCCCCAGCTGTGCACAAACACCTTCCAGCTCTGAGCTACGTGGGCTAGAGGCACCCATGTGAGACAGGCTGAAAGCTAGTGATGCCACTTGAGATGCCGCAGTCCGATTCACTTCATTACCCCAGTGAGAAAGGGAAGAAGAAAAAAAATAGGGACGCAGCAAAGCAAAGCCTTCATTCCTCCCAACATATTTCTGGAAGACAGAGCCAGCCATTGGCTTGCACGTTTATTTCTCCCCCTTCTTCCAGAGGTTGGGAGCCAGAGGAAGGGCAGGGGCCTTTCCCTTTGGCAGGGTAAAGCAGGGAGGGACAGTGAGAAAACAAGAACAAAGGGTAGGTTTGTAGGTCTAACGTGGTGTAGGTCACTGTGGTACCTGCAGTCAGCATGGGTGAACCTAACTCAAAGCCTGGATCTGTACATCCACCTTCTTCCATTGTTAGGGCCAAGCAAACAGGGAACAGTTAGGAGAGGTCCAGAGGCACTTGCTCAGTTGAGCCTTTAACTTAGAGCCACTTCTTTTGGGAGTGCTTGTATATGTAGTCTACCTAAAATATTCTGCCTTGCTTTACATTTCATAGCACTGTGGATTCAAGAGAGAGAGCAGGCAACAGACAGGCAGGGGAGAAATGCACGTGGCATCCTCCTCTGAGAAAAGGTGGTCTTACTTGGGTGGACATGAGGGGTCAAGCAGCAGAGACAGCACTGAAGGGAAGTGGCAACAAAGCTGAACTTTCAGCATAGTGTTCATGTGTTGGTGGTGCATGAGTAGAAGGAAACAAGGATATGGTGTCTTATATGAAGAAGAGGAGCTGAAGTTTCCTGGCCCAAGAAAAGACAAATCCTGGAGGAGATCTGAAAAAGCAAAAGACGATGAGGCTCCCCTCTGCTCATGAGAAAACGATGAGGCTTTGAGGACAGCAAGGGAGAGAACCAGTCAGTTAAAGACCTGCTCTATCCTAATCTGTTCTTCCTCAAAACACTCTCTCTTTCTCTCACTTCTCACTGTGATTGTGGAATCCATATATTTTTGGTAGTTTACCCTCCTCATGAAAGGGCAAGAGGCTGATCATCTGCCACAAGGAAAAAGCCTCTTTTCTGCCACTTCTGGTATTCATTACACCTGTTCTGGTTTTGTGCTTCAGATAGAGAGCAAGTAAAGCAGACACCAAGTAAAGCATCAAAATTTGTATACAGATTTTATATATTGCACAAATGATCTGAAGAATAGCTTCTGGTAAAGATCAGAGTTGCTTGGCTTATTATCCTGTAGCTTAGAGGGCAAGACTTAAGAGATCCCATGCTACAAGCAAAGTCCCTTTAAATCCAAATGAATGTAAAGTCTGCCATGAAGCAATTCTTAACAAGAGATCTTTATATTCTTTACCTTGCAATTTTTCCACCAGTATTTTCTCTTCAGTTTGGCTGCACTGGTTTCAAACTGTGAGGCACCTGCTTGCAATGCATCTGCCCGGTTATCAAGCTCTGACAGCTTCTGGTCTCTCTCTAGTACTTTGTCCACGTTCATTCTCATGATGTCTACCACCTGCAAAGGAACAGCCCCACATTAGATCTCATTGCATGGTAAAGCCAAAGGCCACCATATGTTCACACTCTGGAATATCACATATCATACTGAAACCAGCCTTTTGCCATTATGGCAAATGCTGTGGCAGTTACACAGACATTTCCTCAGTAAACATGTCTGGACACAGACAGTGAGAACAAGATAAACACACTATAACTGTGCTCAGATGCCCTTAAAGGTAAAATAAATAAATAAATAAATACATAAATAAATAAAAAAGGGGGCATTATGATATACTCTAATTAATTTAATTAAAGCTTTTGGTTTCCTTTAGCCTACAGCCTCACTACAGATACAGAAAACTGATGGAGACCATTTCCCCTACTACAGTTTGGTTGACATTTGTCCAGCCTTTACTAAGAACAAGCCACTGTTTTCCTCATACATTTAATATAATTTCCTTACCTGCATTAGAGAAATTGGCTTGATAAAGGCCACTCTAAAAGGAACCGTATGCATTTTCTAATGGAAGAATTTACTCATTCTGCAGATCTTTCTCAGAAAAGATGACTTCCCAGCCATAAACTGAAGTCCCACTTGAAAGCGAAGCAGGAGAAAATATCTTACCCGGAAAACTGCAGTCTGAAGGGCAGCAGGGAGCTCATGCCCCCCTCAGCACAGAGCTTGAGTGAAAAAAGTGTGCACAGGCAGGTAAGGCCCACTCATGCATATATTTTATACACTGTTAGAAGAAAATCCTTTCTAGCAAATGAATGGTCCTAAACAGAAATCCTATCCAAAGTCATCATGAGCGTAAGTGTCAGATGGTACACCAATCTCAGTAAAGCTGTGTCCACTCATTCTAGCAGTGAATATGGTTGATAATCTGCTACTCCTTATACTCTGTAATAAGGAAGTCCATGTGATTTGTATTTAAAATAATGTAACTATTACCCAGAAATATAAACTAGATATATCATATGAATACAGAGAGGTAAAACTGGTAGCGAGAGAATCTCTGGAAGGATTGGCACAGCATCAAATACTGTTCCAAAACTCAAGATTCTTCTTTCATTTGTCCACCAAAATTAAACAGAATAAAATGCGTTTTGGCCAACCCAAATTTTCTTACTTGCTTTCTCAAACAAAAAACCTTCCAAGCATTTCAATTCATATCAAATAACAAGCCATTTTGTTTTCATTTCTAAGCTGTTATTAAGCTAAATTTTGTCTCAGTACAATGTTTCATACTGAAAATTTTAAACTATTTCATTGAAAATGATGAAAAAATAGTATAGCATTTCCTACCCCTTCTCTCCTTTTTTGTCCAAAACTATTTATTGAATTTAACACGAGTGCAGTGAACACTTTGTCCAGCTGAGACTGCATTTTTGTCAAGTAAATGCATTTTTGTCTAGCCTAAGACCAAGATCTGAGCCTTAGAAAATGAGCTCTAGAACGCCTACATAACTCAAAGGGAAAAGCCAGCATGGATATAACTGAAATGCTGGTTTCAGAGGGCTCTTAGTTATTTCAATAACGCCAGAAGTTTGCTTTTAAGCTAAGTCTCAATCATGTTGCTGTGTTCTGGCCTTGGCTATGATGTGCTGTGCCTTGGAGAACACTAGCTGGAGGAATGCAGGGCTGTGCCGTGGTGTTTGGTGCCACCTACAGATCACTTTCCCACAAGACATGAAACAAGAACAACCAGGAAAGATCTGGCAGGAAGGTCAAAGCAGGCCTAACAGATCAAAATTCCTACGTGATATAAACTAGCTTCATCCAGGTGACTTCAGAGGACTGAAAGCCCAGTAGCGTTTCTCTCCCTCGGCTAGTCACTGTAAGTTAATGACTGATCAACCCTCCCCTATTAGGCATGGATCTGCCATCATGTGATATCCACTGAAAATCAACCCATAACAAACTCTGCCACCCTCTCAAACTGGAGTGGAGAAAAATGTGGACCCTGGTTATCACCTGCACAATCCTCAAATCCAAGAGCTTCTCACTCTCCCCGTGTAATGTGTAAGAGTTCCTTCCAAAACTACTCCATCCTACTTCACAATAAGACAAACTTGCATGGGCTCACGTGATCAATGAGCAGAACTACAGAGTTCAGAAGTTTGCAAGCATGAATGTCAGCAGGAGGGGTGCATCTGCCTCTCTGGGACCCATCTCCATTCATCTGCTTGAAGATCTCTATGTGTCTGACTCGCACCACTCCTTTTAAACAATGACTAGCAGTTACTTTTAATCTTCTAGGGGCAATTGCTTTGGCTCTAGCTCACATAAACAACTACAGCACCATCATGATGGTGCTGTACCATATTCAAGACAAGAAGTTTATTTTATTATTCTAACCCAAGACAGATGCTGAAATGTAATACTTCTTTCCCCATTGCAAAGACACTCCATTAACATCAAGGAAGTTACACTGATGTAAAAATGAGTGATAATAAGAGAACTGAGCCTAGACGTTTCTGCACATGGATGTTCCTGTGATCAGCTCTGAGTATCAGCAAAGGAAAGGCCAGGAAGACCCTGTTTCACACCTTCAGCAAAGAGAGGTTCTCAAAGAGACAAAGCAGCTCAATTTGACAGATATATTTAATTCATCTTAAGAAAGCAGTTTGAGTTGAATGTTCTGAGGTCTTTTCTCGTGTTTGTAAAGCATACCTAGAGATTATCTGAAACCAGAGGCCTTTATAGAAGAAGCATATGGCTGTTTTCTGGTATGTATTTACTGAATTGGCACTAAAGAATCACACAAACCCCAAGCATTTCCTCATGTGCAATAAGCAATTAGTTACTTAAGTGTTTGTAGGGGGTTAGCAAAGCTCTATATTTAATATCCAGCACGTAAATGTGCAATATGTCAGGTGTGCTAGGATTCTACAGCTCCTTCGCTGCTGGTGTGCTCAGGGACTACAGGCACGAATGAATGGTGGTACGCTCACTCATTCCCATTAACATGGCAGTTAGATGGATGTTAGCATTACAGCTAAGGCGGCAGGAGTGGGGGTAATCTGCATCTTAACTAGAATTTAAGAACCATGATGGAACAGGCATGTGCTCCTCCAAGACCATTCAAAAAGAGTAGGGATTCATGGAAGGTACTGTTGTGAGATCACGTGCAAGTGCCTTTCTTTGGGGATACGTTTTGTTTATTAATCAACAGAGCTGCTCTGACTAAAGAGCACAGTGCTCATCTGTACAACATTCACGGCTTCCACCTACCTATGAGAGGCCTAGGGTCTGTCCCTGTGAAACAGCCTGTGAGATTAGCATCTGACCTTTAGGAATGCATGAACACTTTATTTAGAAGAGCTGCTCTGCTGGTCTCGCTATGACATTTCCTCCTGACCTGACTGTCTAATATGAATTCCAGAATCAGCACCAATATCCATATTTATTCTGCAAAAATGTTATTGGTACAAGGATGTTCATACTCAGAAAAGCTCTTGTACTACCTTGCCTCCAAATAAATGCCATCCTTTGGCAATCCTCATTTCCTAGACCCACTGCTTTCAGACAAGCAGGAGTTGCTGGATCCTTAAGTGGGGCGAGCATCTTAAAGAAAAAAAAATCACATCAGCACCCTTATAGTGAGTAAAAAATCACTTGGAGCCTCTTACCTCATCCACCCGAGCTTGTGTCTGCTGCAGCCGTTTGTTACTTGACACACTGGTAGCAGGAGGTGGCCCTGCAGCCCCAGCACTGGTGGGACCTTGGGTAGAAGCTGGAGCAGACCTAGACCAGAAAACAGAACATACAAAGTAACTGAAACCACCTTCACTTGTTCACTGCTCCTTTTCTGGGAAAAAAGTCAAAAGTGCATATCTCTTAACAGGAGTTTCCTATTGTCTGACAGCCCATATTCTCCACGTCAGGATCACCGCCCTTGTTCTAGAGACCTCTTCTGTCCCATTCCCTCCTATTCTGCAGTGATTTTTCATACTACTTCTTGACACGACCATGTCAAACTCTTCCCCTCCCTTGTTGCCTCTTTCTCTCCACTGAAGCGCTTCTTCCATTAGCAAGGCCTTCTGTTTTTGGATCCACCTGTAGGGCAACAGTTTGCCTAATCATTAGGAAGGAAACAGCAAGCCGATTCAGATTATCCACCCTAAGTTAGGCAAGTGACCTAGTTAATCACAGGCCTGACTAGCAAGGCAAAACTTATGTCCCACTCAGGAAGAAGGCTCTCCTCAAGGTGTTTTGTGTCGATGCTACGAGAGCCAGGGCTGTGACCCTGTCTTCCTCCTCAATGTGGTGAATGACACACTCCCATGCTCCTCAGCATCAGGCTGGAAGCTAACCAAGTAAAGAAAAACAAAAGGAGAGGAAGAAACGGAGGAGGAACTGGGGGCAAGAACTGCACACAGCATGGGGTTAGTTAGTCATTTCAGGCACTCAGCAATGCTTAACCACACCACCAGAGATCACCAAGCGCTCCAGCAGAACAGCTGGCCTGGCTTAACCATCTGTCATGGACCCTGGATGACTATTTGCAGCAATGCTGTGAACAGAACCCAGGTCTCCTGAGCATCAGCTCTTTTCTTAAGCAGCAGCGCTGGCCTCCCCCATGTTACTTTAAAATAACAAAAAACAAAACATAAAGACAAATCTCTTAGGATGCAATAGCAGATCTGGCAGTGACTGAGCTAAGCAGACAAGTCACCTGCCGGCCTGACAGCCTCTAGTGACTGCAGCCAGGAATTCTTCTCACCCCTGTGAAACCTTACCGTTTCTTTCAAGGGGACCCCTGTCACTTCTTCCTGCAGGGAAATAAAACCATTCCTGAAACTGCAGAGGAAATCCTTAAGCATTTGAGCTGAAAAATATCACAAATCCCACTCATGCATTACCCATGCCTTCCCACAGTGATAGACTGAAGGAACATAGTGTTTTTCTCTGAATCATTCCCTTTTACATCCTGGGGTCTGATTAATGCTCCTGGAATTACGGCCCCCTTAATACATTGCCAAAGTGCTTGGAGGCACCCTAAAGTTAGTTCTCTAAAGGCTTCTTAAGCTGCAAAGATTTTTTTGATAGTATTGCCTGCGGGCTGAGATCCCTACAGATAACTCTGACCCCCGCTACACACTCCCAGTGATGGAGCAGCTGTTTGCAGACTGGGAGCACTGCTGCATCTTACACTTTGGGGTGGGGGGGGGCAGGGTAAGCAAGTCATTATCAAGCTTCCCTTGAAAGAAAAGGACCTGAGTTGTACAAAAACACTGCTTATCCTTTGAGTACCTCACAGCCACTGTTAAAAACATAAAAGACCAGATGCTGCTGTGCCTACAACAGAATTACTCCACTGAAGGGCCATGGGCCAGGATCCTCGACAGGATTTATTCTGAGTTTACACTGTTGTTACAAAGGATTTAAATCTGACCATCCTGTATATTGGACTAAAATAACACAAAGCAAGATCTCCCTGAAGCACAAACAACTTCAAAAGGAGGTCTTGGTACAGCAACAGAGCTAAAATCGAAATTTTGAAATTTTCTTGCCATCAACACAAGCAGAAATTTGGGAATCACTTTGTCATGCTGTTTGCTAGTACAAGCATAACAGAGATCCATCCCCTCTTGTGCTGTGTACTGTCAGCATCCCAGAGGCTACAGAATGGAAACATAAAGGAAGAAGGGTTACTAGTCACATATTTTGACTAGTAAGCACAGTCTGTAAGAGCAGTGCTGTTCTTGGCCAAATCTGCATGATCACTACAAAGTTCAGTGCTTTGTCCTGTACCTTATCTGCCCGGTATTTTTCATCTTCTTTTGGTATTTCCTAAGTCATCCTTAAAAGGAATTGGCATAAAGTAGATGCTCCCCAATTGTTCTTTAAGGTGCTCTTCCAGCGTCCTTGCTGCCAACTAATTTGATTTCAATTGTATTCCCTGCGGTTGCTCTGCTCCCTGTAGAGATCCTATATAAGATGGTCTTACAGCTGCCCTGACCATCACTGCAGCAGTTACTGTAACTATCATAGAGAGATACTGCCATCTCTCTTTATTGCCATCTATCTTTATGCTAAGGTACAGCAAGCTTGTAATTAACAAACACATCTTCATTTAATAATTATATAAAATCTAATATAGCCATAACCAGAACTGGTTGCTGCCTGCAGTCCAGAGCTACTCTTTCCAAAACTCTTGTCTCTGGAGTTGTACTCTCTTGACGCAACGACAGCAGCTCATCGCTCACAGCGCAATGAGCTGCAGAGCCCTGTGAGCCGCAAGCAGAAGAGCAATTCACCTAAAAAGACATAGCACCCAGCACAGAGCACAAAGCACAGGTTCCCAAACAGGCTTTAGGAAGTCATTCCTTGAGCCCTTGGCTCCTTGGCTTTAACAGCACTTGCAGGACTCTTGTTAACAAGACAGAAGTCCTCTTATGTCATTAGGCAGCACACAATATTTGAAACAGGCAAAACAAGCACAAAGATATCGCCCCTCCCTCCTCCCAGAGCATTTCAGAACAGGACCAAGGGTCTCCAAGCCTCTGGCTCTGCCCTGTCAGTATCTGAGCTCAGCAGCAAGCATCCTGGCTGGGCAGCAGAAGGTAGTACCTCAGTGAGCTAACGTGGCTCTGGTCCAACAAGGCCTCCACTTGGAGTTTGTCTTTGAACCTAAGTTTTCTTGTAAAGAAGGCAAGTGAAGGCCCTGTGTCACTGGAAAGCACCACTATTCTCCAGGATATCTTAGGCCAAAATATTAAAATGAAAGTCCAACCTACATTTACATAATTCTTCTATTATTGCCTCTGTACTGCATCATATCAGCTTATGATTTCTGAGAAGCATGATTCACAGGAACGTCTGCAAAACATTAGCACACTGTTAGAGAAGGTTTCTTTTCAAATTCTTTTGCCACAACCTTAAAGTCCAATTTCTCACGACCTGGCATGATGTTTAGGAGCTATAAATGAATGCAAAACCCATGCAGAAGTTCCCTCAGTGGGCCCTTAGCCAGCAGACTGCTGTTTTTTTCCAGGAAGAGGACAAAACGTTACAGTTGATGCTGAGAATTTTCATCCCCAAGAGCAGGTCAAATTAATTTTGAAGGGGGAACAAAGCTACGTTATTGCAGGTAAAAAAGGGCATAATTCTCTACCAAACGGACTTATTCTTCAATTGCAACCACTCAAGGCACTTGTGATGTCAGAGCACTGGCATACTCCCTCAGAGAGCGACGAGTGACAAAGAGACAGGGCCACGTGCAGGGCGAGTGCACTTACTCCAGAACAATAAGAGCGCATGCTTGAAGCCTAGGCCATTAGGTCATTCCTTATATAATATTAGTTACATCCTTGCTCCCCAGCACATCAGCTTTTGCCTTTGTTGACAAATGAGCAATCGCATTGATTAAAAACAGATGCTGGATCTGTGTATGCGCACACCACCCACGAGGAAACATTTGGGGATTGTTCTAGTGATTCAGCAGCACAGTCTCAGCTGACTCAGACTTCCTCAGTGCTGCTGGTTACCTGCTGGGCCTGAAGGTGGTAGGTCAAAATCATGACTAAGAGATTTCCCATCCCACATGGCTCAGTGTCAAAAAAAAAAAGAAATCACTTCTTTTTTTTTTGGAATCAATTTACCACTTACGTCTAATGGTTAAATGGAGCTGTGACTCTAATTAAGAGAGATGTGGAGACATGCAATGTTACTGGCATTTCCATTTCCGCTGAAGGAACATTAAGGATGACCGTGTATCTGATGTTTGCGAAGCTGCTTGAAACACAGTTCCGTTTTTGCTCATCTGCGTGAGCTATGCAGGAGAAACGTCTTGTGTTAGCCAGGCTAGGAGAGGGAGTTACACGATGCAGATAGCAGGAGGCTGTCAGGCCATTGCTGTGACTGCACAAGAGCAGCATTGGTACAGTATACATCAGGACCTCAGTAGCTGTTTTCAGCAATGTGTTTTATCCATCCAAAGAGCTTTTAAAGCTGCTGGCTGTGGGACCTAATCCCTTCAAACTCTTTACCCTAACAACACTGCAGTAAGCTAAGGAAAAGCTGTTATCCCTGCATACGGCTGGAAACTGAGGCGCAGAGAGATTAGGTGACTTCCTCAGTGACACAGGACGCCTGTGGCATAGCAGGGCCCCGAGGCCAGGCTGGTCCTCACCACCCCCCTGCTCCCCTCTTCTGCTTTAGTGACTGACTCCAAATCAAAGCTCACAAGCTGTCTTTCAGAGCAGGAATTATTCTCTACCTCACAGACTTACCGAAGAGCGAGAAACATGCCCAGTTAAAGGTCCCAGCAGAGAGGAAAGCATGAATTACATCAGACGGCTTTAGCTGGTACCAGCTGGCAAAGCTCGGGGGCGCAGCGGAAACGCCCGGAGAGAGCAGAACATGCAACTCCTTGCCCCTATAAGGAGGGGAACGAAGGGGGCAATTTTCTACGAATCCCAGTTGAATTCCTCTTTCCTCAAACCTTTTCCCTGTTGTTCTAAAAAAATATAGGAAATTGCTTTGCTCTTCTTCTCCCTCTTTACCTTTTTACTGTCCAGCTACGTTTCTATAATAAATATCTATTATCATAACTAAACTTTAGTCTATTTAAGATTTTGCTCTTGCATGGGGCTTGACTGCTCAAGTGGGGTTTGATAGTCTGTGGTCCCAAAGATATACAAACAAAAGTAACTATCTGCATTTAATTGTTAAAAAAAACCAAAAACAAACAGGCCTCCCCCCCCCCCCAAAAAGAGAGCCCTTCCTTAGCACTGTGTTCT